TCTCACACATGACATGAGACATTAGATTTGCTCTCAGGGTCCCCATGGAGGAGACCTGACACCGTAAGTGTGCAGTGTACAGAGTCCCTCTTAGTACACTAGAACGGGAAGAGAAACCTAAAATGGGATGAGCTGCCTGTGGAAGGGGCGAATGTGTCTGTGGGTCACTGGAAGGGCCAGACCTAAGCCAAAGGATCACGTGTTGGGTGTCGTATAAAGGAAATTCAACCATCCAATGGGGGCTTAGACCAGGTGAGCTTGCAATTTCTTTCCACCTGGCTGTCATTTGAAGCTCTATCCAAAGGCCGTTTCCCTGCCATCTCCTTCAGAGAGAGAGGCTCCTTTCTCCATATCCCACCGCTAGTCTCCAGACTGTTTCACAGAGATTTGACAGACATTTATTAAGTACCTGCTGTGTGCCTGGCATGGGGATTACAGGGCCGGATGCTGCTGGCTAGGAGCTTGCAGACTAGGCAGCCTGCTGTACCTGTCTGTGGGTATACTTAGCAATGAGGCTGCCTCAACACATCAAATCATCTTCCTTAAGGTTCAACGCCAAAAGAATCGTTCAGCAGCTGCGAGCCTGCGGTGTTTTAGAGACGATTCGCATTAGTGCACAGAGCTACCCTTCCAGGTGTGTCGCCAGTCCTTTGATTTTTGGGGAGAGAGTGTCTAACTTCAGGTGTGTGCTGAGAACCAAGGATGTGGCTGCCATGGTGTTTGTCACATACTTTTGGCTTCTATGAGGTGCCCCTAAGATTTTCCCCACGGTGGAAAGACCAGAAGAGGTGAGGAATAGCCTTGTGTGGGGACAGAGGCTTCCACCAGCACCCTGGCACCCCATCTCAGCTGCTGGGGAGAGTCCAGCTACCTCCCTAGTGTGCTGGGAAAGGTCACCAAGCGGGGAAGAGGATGATTGATGGACATAGAGTCAACAAGGACTGTCCAGGGAGCAGACAGGTGTGCTGGGGTGGTCTTGGTGGGTCCCAGGGAGGGAGCTGGAGATCAGTACCATCACCACCAGGACAGAGTCTGCCCCCCCAACCCAAAATAGCAGTGGCAGGTGAGGCAGTGGGGCCCCCAGACATGACAAGCATCCTCTCTGATACAACTGGCTTGGGTCCTGCTTTGCTCTTCCAGGTGGACATACATCGAGTTCTATAGTCGCTACGGCATCCTCATGACCCAACAGGAGCTCTCCCTCAGCGACAAAAAGGAGATATGCAAGGTGGTTTTGCACAGGCTCATCCAGGTCAGCCTTCCTCACCTCCTAGAATCACAGGCTATTTCCAAGAAGCACATCTTGCAAGCCTGTTTCTGCAACTATGTCTCTGAGTCTCTGGACTGTAGCCATCATGAATGGGTGAAGAAAAGGCATGCTCCCGGCATCTGCATGCTGAGGAGACCTGAGCAGACCAGCTCACGGGGGCACGTGCTCTCCTGACAGCAGGCGTCCCTTCTAGGGACCCAGACTTGAGCCCCAGTCTCCCCCAGAGCCCTCCTGTCCTCTTGGCTCACCCACAGTCTAATTCCCTCTCCCGTGTCATGGCTCATGGGAACGTGGTCAGCTGAGCTGGTAGCTGAGCCAACTGGGCACCAGACATGGTGCTTGGCGTGGATGAGGATCACCATTGAAACAATGAGCTGTGATGAAAAAGGGATGGGGAGTTACGGTGTCCAGCAAAGGGCATGGCAGGAGAACCCAAAATGAAGGCAGAAAACCATACTTCCCAGGTTCCTCCATGCCTTTGTGGAAACCTCTGGGGAGCGGCTGAAGGTTCTCCAGCCACCTGCTGAGAACCACAGGAGTGTGCACACCCCTTCCCACCCACGGAGGGATTTCTCAACCCAAGTTCCTTGCTTTCCTATAAAGTGGCTTGAAACAGCAATTCAAAGTATAAATTTCTAGGTCATGAACAGAATTTTCATGCTTTATGTCAAGGGAAAAAAATACATCAAAATGATGTTTTTGGCATCTTTGAATCTTTAAAAGTGTTTTCCAAATACTACAGAAAATCTGAAAGATTGTAAATCTGATAATATTGTTTTTCTCTTCCAGGACTCTAATCAGTACCAGTTTGGTAAAACCAAAATTTTCTTCAGAGCAGGACAAGTGGCTTATTTAGAGAAACTTCGATTGGATAAACTGAGGCAGAGTTGTATTGTGATACAAAAGCACATTCGTGGCTGGCTCCAGAGGAGAAAATTCCTCCGAGAGAGACAAGCTGCCCTGATAATCCAGCAGTACTTTCGGGGGCAGCAAACTGTGAGGTAAGTTGGAATTCAGGTGGGGCTTATTTCCTTGATCATCTCTAGGGGGAGGGTCTGTCAAGGACTCCTGTGACTTGGATGTGTGTGACTCATGTGGCCATGAGACGAGAAGGTTCTGTTTCCCAGGGGCAGATACTGCTCACTCCACGTGGTAGACTGTGTGGCAGAGCTGATGACCAGGACCCTGAGGGAGGAAGTCCTGATCAGGGTATTGC